GACATTTTCCAACAAACTGAAATGAATTTCCTTTGTTGCTAGACTAATTTATTAACACCTGCACCTAATTTCGAGGGTGGGAGAAGTGCCCGGGATGGGTTCGAACGAGAGTTTAGACTAATTCATTATATCAGAAGGCGGAAACGTTGTTGAGGTGGGTTCTTACAATAGTTTAGACCAGATACATTCGCGAAAGTGGTCGCTTATTACAGGTGTTGTATGTTGTTTCGGACCAAAAATCGATGCCCGCGGTCGCGTTTCACAGGTGGTCGTTTAATACAGGTAACTTATACGAAGATTCTATGGATAAACTATTCCGTGCCAGAAATTTTTGCCCGTTTTGACAGGTGCCCGTCGAATGAAAGTGGTCGCCTAAGCAGTTATCACTGTAAATCTAAATATTTCAATGCATTCGCTAAATCTGTAAATCTAATCAATTTGGCTGATAAATCTGTTATAATAGGACTGAAGAGAAGTAGTTAAGCCCGGAATGCACATCCGTTCCTACCAATAAACCAACATTCATCCACTAAAAGTGTTCCTGTGTGATTTGTTCTCAACAGCAACATTATGCTAAGAAAACACATCTATTCCCTATGTGTAGAGAAATTATGTTAATTAGGGTCCAAGAAAGGAACCATCGCTGATTGGTTCCTTTCTTGTTTGGTGAATTTCTTCCTGGAAAGGATTTAGACCACGTGGAAAAGAAACAAAAGAAACAGGATGTAGAGTTGTAGACGAACAGAATAGTCTAGTGGTCAAGGCACTCACGTTGTGTGGACGAATACTATTTTTTTTTTTTCATTTTTTAGATTGAAGAAGACTTAGGAACAAAGAATAATGGGATTTATCTTTTCTAATAAGTAAAAGTGAAGAAAAAAGAAACTTCAGAATGAAGCCAGCTAAAATTACAGTGAAAGAATGTCCACAAGCAAGGTAAAAATTAACGAACTTGAAACCCCTTTTGTGAGTAGTAACGAGTTCCTTATTTTTACGTCCATAATTCTAAATTTTAGCTCTAACGGTTCGAAAGAAAAGTTGGCACTTGTACAGTTTAGAGGGTACGGCTATTTGAGAGGTTTACTTCCATAAAATTAACTAAATGTAGACTAATTTCACTCGAATATTTCCAAAACACGTATAATTTGTTGAAATGATCGATATAAAAAACGCTATAAACAAAACTACTTACCGACTGTGCACCGCCATCGCTTAAGCTTGTTTCGTCGTGGAGCTGCACATTGGAGGGCAGACGCGCACACAGCAACCTGGCTTCGACGTCAGTCGCTCACGTGACTACAGCTCTGACGCGTTTCCGGACAACTTTTTCTCGTGGCGAAAGAATTCGTTCTGTTTGCACTATACCTCGCAGGCGTCACGTGATAGAGCAAAGACACCCTACGGTGCGTACATTAATAGCGGTCGCTCCGCTGGGCTGCTGCTGCTTGTAGACATTTGCGAACGACGGTGAATAAAAGAGACACCCGTAATATCAAGTGTGGTGATGGCGGGATCTATAATTTAAAAACATGCATTTTTAGAGAGAAAATTAAAAATATGGATTCCAATATCATTCAAAGTAGTTGCGAAAAAAAACTCGAGACGACACTTACATCCCCGTGTGGGTATATATATTGACGTGCGTTTTCACAACTTGTAAATTTTCATTCATAAAACTACAAAAACGGAACTATCTGAGCCATGGAGCACGCCACGTTGACTTCTACGGTAAACTACTATTACAAACACCCGTTGTTGCGTCCGACAGCGCGCTTCCCGCCAGAATGTACAAACGAGTTCAGAATTATTCTTTATTGCTAACACGTGATTACTTCTTGGGGACAACCCTCGTAAACAGCCCGCGGACCAGCTTTGCTTAGTTACGCTTCCGTAACACTGTAACATTCTATAACGAAATTCACGAGTTAAGATTGGACAACGACGATTTATTTTTCGATTAAATAACTTGTTAAAAACATATGTGTTTTATATAACTAATCCTTTTAATTTTAAAATGTAAAAGTTATATAACAATACTTTAAATAACGAATAACGTAACCTTTTTAGATACTTGGCTGGATTCTTAATGCCTAAATGTTTGCTTGGTAAAATATTTGTGCTTGATATCTAAAAAAGGTTTGGTTATTAAATTTTTAGAAACGCNACTAATCCTTTTAATTTTAAAATGTAAAAGTTATATAACAATACTTTAAATAACGAATAACGTAACCTTTTTATATACCTGGCTAGATTCTTAATGCCTAAATGTTTGCTTGGTAAAAGATTTGTGCTTGATATCTAAAAAAGGTTTGGTTATTAAATTTTTAGAAACGCGAACTTAAAAACAAATCTTTAAACTTTTAAATTTTTCCTACTGCTTCGAGTCGAATAAAGTCGGAATGAACGCGTTAAGCGACGATCAATTCTAGAGAACAGTAAAATTTTATAATTTACTGTGGTTGTAGCACCTTAAATCTTTTCTAGAAAATTACTCTTTTAAAAGAGATTTTGTAGAAAAGCAAGTGTATATTTTTAATATTACTGTTAACGTTTAAACGTTTAAGAAAGGAATTTTAGCATTAAGGAACGCAAAACGTTTATTATATTACATAATGCATTTTTACATAAATATTTGCATATACAAGCACCGTGATACATGCAAGTCCATTTCGAAAACTGCACAGATAAATTTTTTTCTTTTACTGTGTAGATTCAGAAAATAAAAATGACATATTCCCAAGAATTGCTCGTAAGCAAAACATAGAGAATACGTTGACAAAAATAGTTTTTTTAAAAATAACGTTAGTAAATTTGTAGACCTTTCAAAAAGTAATTGATGAATCAAAATTTGGGACTTAACTGCAGTTCAAATCTTCCCAGTTTCTTTCTCACCAATATCTTCCGTCCTTTACTTGCAGTTTGACAATTCCATAATGATTTACCATTTATATCTTCTATACATGCCATACCGCTTTCTTGATGCTTTTCACTTCCTTCCAAAACGGCTTCAGATGCAGTTTATCATCCAGTCCAGTCATTCTTCGTGTTTCTCTTAACACTTTCACAACTTAATGCTTCCTTCACGAATGTAACAATTCAAAATTACACAATAAGCTTTAAAATAAGCTAGAATGTTCACACATTAATATTTACAATAAACTACAAAATTATGGCCCTGAAAAGGGCCGTTTTTTAAAGGAAGCGTTACGAGCAAAGCCCTGCGAACCGGTTAGTAATCTGGCGGATAAAGATTGGCAGCGGCCTGAAAAAAATAATGTGTCCTTTCGGTCGATTTCGGATATCTGGACTTAAAAAGAAATTCGGCCAGATATCCGATCATGTGCGCTTCCCTCCTTCCGTACCGTCGGGAATGTTCGAGCGGACCTCATGCCACGTCCTCTCGATGGTATTGGTGTGGGCCTTCGTCCGGGGATCAACAAAATTATAAGTATGATTCACTGTCAGGTGACGAAAGCCTTCATTCTGAAGACAATCGTACGCCCTCCAGCAATCACTTATAACTGTTGTCCCGGGAAGCACCCACTCCTTCAGGACAGCGAGCAAGGTCTCGCTGTCACGTGCTTCCACCGGTACTAAAAAGGTTCGTCGAGTCTCCCGCTCGATACCCCCAAAGATCCACTGACCTTTGATCACCCTTCCCCTATTATACTTACGCCGTCCAAATTTGGCTTCATCTATTTCTACGGTCTTTCCTTCTCCTCCAAGTTTCTCCGATGTTGACAACCGATCGTGGATAAGTACCTCTCGGTAGAAAGAGTACCAATCCACGAAGGTCTTGGAGGAGAGATCCAGACCCGGTCCTAAATGTTCCTTTAGAAACATTTTTAGCTTTTTAACAATTTGTCCTGCGTCCCGCGGCGTTTTAAAAAAAGTTTTGAGTTTTGGAAAGATTAACTTTTTGTCAATTATGTGTCATAAACTTATGTCTTATGTTTAAGATTCGAAAGATCATTTTGTATCACACCTATCAGTCTTAAGGTGTCCTGTACGTGATATAAAGATAGCTAATATAACGATATAAGATTCTAGCTAATATTATTCTTAATCTTAACACTTAAATAAACACTTTAGGCCCTCTAACTATAACTATGGATGGAAAAATAATTTGATTCTACCAAAAGTTAAGCACTGTTTTGGCCGAGATGCATTGATCTACCTACTCATATATAACAGGAATGCTTTAAAAGAATATAAAAATCTGAGAACTTATGGAAAATTTAAACAAGTTGTTAAAATATTGAACTGTGTCTACTTTTGTGTATTACAGTATTTATTTTTGTTGTTCTTTTTTTTGTTTTGTTCATTGTTTATTTTTCGTATATGTATTTGTGTTCACACTTGGAGAAGGCCAATGGCCATAGTGTCGTTTAGTTACATAAATAAATAATATACTTAATTTAGCTTCTAGAAATGATGTAAACGTAATATATCGGAAATATTTGATTAAATATTAGTCACTGCTGGTTTTAAATTAGTTTCGACGTGTCTGTTAGCCGGTTTCTTGTTTTAATTTTTACTAAATTTATTGTGGAAAAACTATTCACATACATAAGTTGTAGAAAATAACGTTTGAATTTTTGCTGCATATTTTACACATTTTACATGTCTAATTAGTCGGGGTTCAAATTCCAAAAAGTTGTAAAACTGTCAGTGGATCTTCAAAGGCATTCCACTCATACATTATATAGGGTCTGTACAGCTAGAGAAGTGATAGTTAATGAAGATTGACAGGGAGCTATGGGGAATAAGGAAACAAATTATTATTTAAAATAATTTCAAAAGAAAATATTTTAATTAATCCAAACAGACGATATTGTTATTACGAGTTACGCCCGCANAGTTTCGATGTGTCTGTTAGCCGGTTTCTTGTTTTAATTTTTACTAAATTTATTGTGGAAAAACTATTCACAAACATAAGTTGTAGAAAATAATATTTGAATTTTTGCTGCATATTTTACATGTCTAATTAGTCGAGGGGTTCAAATTCCAAAAAGTTGTAAAACTGTCAGTGGACTTCAAAGGCATTTCCACTCATACATTATAAAGGGTCGGTACAGCGAGAAAAGGGATAGTTAATGAAAATTGACAGGGAGCTATGGGGAATAAGGAAACAAATTATTATTTAAAATAATTTCAAAAGAAAATATTTTAATTAATCCAAACAGACGATATTGTTATTACGAGTTACGCCCGCAATATTCTGATACCAATTTCATCAAAGAATTAATCGACAACAAATAATGTATACGTAACGATCGAAGATAAATTACAATAAAATGTTCACATTAAACACTTCCCATAATGTCAAATTTTATAATAATAATTTTATTTATAAGCTTAGGAATGCGTTTAAGCAAGACCTTGAACGAGATTTTAATTAACCTCTGAATAACAGAAAAAAAAACGTAACTCTCGTACACATGTTTGTTCTTGTAAATCATTAACATTTTAATTATTGTTATAACAAATACCTGTAAATTAATAATTACCATCTGTATTTTATCAATCGTCACCATTTCTGTGCTTCTCATAACCATGAAAGTTAAAAATTTTTACAAATTTTGTAACAGTGCAACTAAATAGTTACATCACAAAGAATTGATAAAGGACTCGAAGTTCGAAATGCATACTCTATGAAATAAAAATGTGATTTTCTAAAGTTTGTCCTGTTTTTAATTGATGGTGTAATAAGTCTAGCGAAAAAGAAGTATATTGCGCATTTTAAATAACTAAACTTTATAAAATAACGTGTTTTTAAAAAGTTGCTCTTTTAAAAATAATTCTGTGATGAATGATACCGTTAATAAATGTTAGTTTTTGACTGATGACAACATAGCTACCCTACTTTTACACCATAAACTTGCATTTTCAAAAGACTACAGATATACAGAAACTTTTAAAGAAATTATTTTCCAAGTTTACAAAAGAAAAAAATTAAATTGTAAACATCATATTATTTATTACGATTATCTTCATTGATAGGTCGTTTTATTTCAATAAATTTTACACACTTTATGTGTTTTATAATTCATATAGTGATAAAAATCTCGCGGGAATTCGAGTTTTGCTGGACGTCCTAAGAGGAAAGGGATTACGGAACATTGGACAAACTGGGATAATGGAGAAGAGGGAGTAAAACTTTGAATTAAAATGCGCACGTAATTTATAGACAGTTCCTTTTATGAGATCCGACCCGGGCCGCATTTACCACAAGGTGCTAGTATTTTCGAATTGACTCTAATTAACTCATTATTTCAAATTTAAGATTCATTGTTATTTAATTCAAATGCAAATTTGATCTTATTTAACACTTCCTTTTTTATGTTCAAGAAAAAGCTTCTGCCAATAGTTATTCTGTTCACAATTCGATTAACAGAGCCAAAAATGTTAAATTTGCATTCCACTGAAAATATTACAAGCTTAAACTATTCATAATATTTTATTCCCTGTTACATATTATAAGCAGTTAGTCAATGTAAACGTCTATAATAACAATACGTAGTTTTATCACAATTTAGATTTATTTTTTATATACCATTTATATATTTGAAGAGATATAACTTAGAGAACAGATATTTTAAACACTGTACAATATACGTTGAATACGAATTTTTCTGCCATTTAAGATCGTTTTATTTATTTCAACTAGGTAATTTTCACCCCGGAAATACAGAAAATAGAAACTATAAAGGAGAAGAACGAAATTCAATCTTGTAAAAGTGAAATTTATAATTCATTCTTAAGAATATTTATTTTACACGTTCCAAGGTAGTGAGTTTATCTTATCGAAGAAGGAGTTATGAGGAAAGTATACTTATCATAAGTTTTTAAAAAATATAATATTCTTTTAATATGAATATAACATATTATACAACTTTACATTTAACAATAGAAATGAATAAAAATATGAATATTACATTGTAATATTAAAAGTCATGTAAAATTAAATTTTATACAATATATTTCATGTATGTTGTGTATTATTTTCAGTTGTTCTCTGGATGAAACACACAAAGTTTGAAGAAAATATTGTCCAAGATTATAGAAGAATTTGCATATTAGATACACTGCTTTACTTACATCAATGCTCTTCATTAAAAAATATAAATGAAGCAAAAGTTCTACAGCAAGGATATAAAAAGATTCATAAAGATTACACTTGAAATTGTTTACTTTAATATGTCATCTCTGATTAGCTGTTGTTGAAAATATTATTAACACAATATATTTATACACCAGCATTATAATCTTTATAGTTACTTTTTTGTGTTTTGATGCAGAAATTTGTTTTTAGATATAAAAATTATTTAATTAAATATTAATATATATATAGTTATTCTTATTTTAAAATTTTTTTATTATATATCGATAAAATATTTAAATACTGTTTTTAATTGCAGAGAAAAAGAAATTTTTATGTAAACACTGTAAGAAAAGTTTCAAAACTAAACAAATTTTGCAAAAGCATGAAAGAATTCATACAGGAGAAAAGCCTTACAGTTGTGAAGTGTGTAAACAGAAATTTTCAGAGAAGTCAAACTTAATTACACACCTTCGTGTCCACACTGGAGAAAAGCCTTACACTTGTGACGTGTGTAAAAGGAAGTTTACACAAAAGGCAAGCGTAATTACACACCTTCGTGTCCACACTGGAGAAAAGCCTTACACTTGTGACGTGTGTAAAAGGAAGTTTACACAAAAGGCAAGCGTAATTACACACCTTCGTGTCCACACTGGAGAAAAACCTTACAGTTGTGACGTGTGTAAAAGGAAGTTTACACAGAAGGCAAGCGTAATTAGACACCTTCGGATCCACAACAGACAAAAGTAATATGTTAATTATGCCTAGCGAAATTCACGCTTAAAAATTTTGAATGAATATTATTTTCAATTTCTATTGAAACATAATGATCGAATGTAAACTAAAATGATTTTAAAATTAGAATTATGTATCTCCGAAAAGTTTTAACTAAAAAACAACAATATTCAATATATAATTAAAACGTCTTTATGTAAAACTTTCTTGAATAAAAAGTCTTTCTATCGATACCTCCCTGTATTAATTATAGTTAAAGTTAATTTATTCGATCAGTAATTAGGACAGTGCATGTTTTGCTGTAATTCATAATACAGGAAATCCTCGTATATCCCAACAGTACAGTTTTTCTCCGGCCACGGATATACAAATGTACTGTACATGTTAAGGAATTCGGTTACTTCGAAATTGGAAGTGAAAATTTTGTCCGAACTTGTGATATGTCTATGTTAAATCATTCGTTTTACATGGAAGTGCTTCCAAACCAGAGTAAAAAAATAAAGTATATGTTGTTAAGTGTAATGAAATATTTTGAAAGATAATCTTTAAGCATATAGGACACTGACATCACGTGTTTTATGTATCTATATATTATGGAAGTATATGAGCACGTTTAAAATTTGCCTTATATTTTGACAGACAAACACTGTCATGTTTTAGTAAATCTCAATATACGAAAAATATCTTTATTTTAACTTAGATTTATTTTTACATACGTTATCCAAATATATTCATATTTTCGGAAAGATTTGTTCACATACACGGAATATGCCGCGGCGCCAAAAATTTTCCTGTATTATTATCAACGCCCTCCGGTTCACTTTTATCTTGTGCAGTTTGACCTGACCGAGTATTATTAGTTTTAAATTAAGCCACTGCGGCGTACAGTGCCGATATACAGAAGCTCGATCTGTGGTATTCTCTGGTCATAATTACAAATTACGAATGCTTTATTCGTAGTTTAAAAATGAAAACAAATTAAGTTTTAGATTGACACCTTACTAAT